TCTAGGAATAAGCGAAGGTGTCAGCAAAGTATCCACCATAAGAGTCTTTAGAAAACAGCGACTACAAAACATGGAGAATCAATCTTGAATTCTCGCCCGCTAGCTACCATGCGATCAGTAATCTGGTTTAAAATGATATCTTGCAAAACTGATTATTTCTGTCATGTCTAATAAGTTCTGGCATGACAAACGTTTCTTAAATTTGATAAGTTTTGGCATGGCTTACCAAATGTAAATCAACAGAAAAGGAAAAAACTTGCTTATAACTTAATAATTATTAAATAAGTTTATCCTCAACTATAAGTTATTGAGGAAAATTTTCCGAAGAATTAAGCTTCATTTTGTGTAATATTCACTAAATTCCATTAAAATATAAAAGAAAGCCTCAAATAATTGAAGACTTCTTGATTACGCTGTAAATTCTGTAAATTCCCTAATCGTGCTCAGACTTGCAACTGACACGATACCTCGTTTTACTCCAGGAATAAACGAAGGTGTCAGGAAAGTATCCACCATTAGAGTCTTCGGCAAGCAGTGAAAGTTTCATGCCCTGCCCTGTCCCCCGAGGTCTTCCAACGTCTTATCACTGAGAAACCAGAAACAGCTATCGGGAATAAATGAGAAGGGAAACCATGAGGCAAAGGTTCGAAGAGGGAATAAAAAGTAGGAAAAGCGTTTTGGTTCCCGAAATAGAGATATTTAGTCAGGGAGTTTTATCGGAAATGTGGATCTCATCTGTTTGAAGTTGTCCTGCTATCCTTTTTCTGGAGGGGCTTGCTTCCCGAAGATTCGAAAGATTTTTTTTTTCAATCACAATTTTTGGTTCTGTATGATTCCGTTTTGGTGGAACTTTTGCCGCCTCAAGGTGTTTTGAAGGGTTAGGAAATGGAGTTTCTTGAAAGAAAATGTGATTTTGGTTTCGTCTGTTTTGTTGTATCTTTATTTGAATCAGTAAAGGTAATGACAATCTTTTGAAACTTTTGATTAAATGCACCTTAAATTCTCTTCTTCCTTTTTGTAGTGGATGTCTTAGCTAAAATGTTATAATCACAAAATATTTTCAAAGTTTAAACAATTTTTGTATTAAAAAGATTACCACGTGCTGCATGTTATATCTTTATTTGAATCGGTAAAGTAATGACTATCTTTTGAAACCTTTGATTAAATATACCGTAAATTCTCTCCTTCATTTTTAGTGAATTTTTTAAATAAATTAAGATTCTTTAGCACATTTATTGTCAATAGCCTAAGGCTAATAGTGTAAAATGATCCAAAAATGTAATAACCATAAAATATTTCTTAATTTTAATAATTTCCAATTTTTTTATTAAAAAGAATACCTCGTGCTTCATCGTTATTTTAATCATAAATTGTGCTATCCAATTTTTATTCTAACAAATCACTTACTAGTCGGAATAAAACACATTTCTGAAACATCAAAAGAAACATATGATATAAAAATAAATTTTTATAGCACTTATGTTACAAAAAAATGTCCCAATTTGAGAAATTTGGCATAAAAAGGTTTTAGCGGTTTGTGTTCAATTTACAATTGCGAATCGTTTCCTTCGAAAATGAAATTGACCCAACACAAAACATGTTCAAACATTACGGACGCTAATCTGCAACATCAATTACGATACGCAAATACCCAAATTGAGATCGATTTGCAAAAGCTAATTGAAGGAGAGGAGAAACAAATATCGCACTAGTAAAATAAATATTTTTTAATAATTTCATTTTTTATTACGTATATATAATTTTTATATTTCATTTTTAGTGTTATATATTTCTTTACCATGTGCGCTTAGTATCATTATTATTATATTATCTATGTTTACATGTAAGAATAATAGTATAAAAAAAAATAATAACTCATTATGTTTCAATTTTTCACTCCAAAAAAATGCCTATAGTGGGTCAAAATCTGATATGAGGATATATAATTTTATATGCTACCCTCGGAGGTCTTTTATGACGCATTTCCAAAGTGGCCCGTAAGATCATTTGAGTTGGCTACCCTTGCTTTAGAATTACACATTTTGTAGTATAACTATAAATGTACAAAATGTGCTGACACGATTTCTTTATTAATTTAATAAATAAAAGGATCTTACTTTTTTTTGTAATCGCATGTAACTGTTCTGTATGCGAAAAGGGTTTTCAAAAATTGTTCCTGTTACCTAAGAGTTTTGTTCGAAGTATTTTTATTATGAAAATTTTTTACATGCTCGAGGCATCTTAATTTTTGAATTATTTGACATTTATTGGCGTTAAACTATAATTCTCATCTGAATTCTTACATTTGTTTGCTCTAATTCAGCTGGAAAACACTTAGACAAATGTCTTTCATGCCTTATGGCAAGCGCTGCTCTTTTTCTACTAGACATATAGCACATTTAACTTATAATCCAAAAACATAATTATTAGAACTTTATATAACTACGATATTTTCATACATACCTGAATTATATTCTACTAAACAAAATTATATCTTAGAATATATATATATATATTATAATACACAAAAAATTCAAAATTTGTGATAAAATTTATGCTTAATATTGCTCAGCTAGCTGTAAATATTTTCCTAATTTTAAACACCCATTAACGATTATGTTTTTTGTTGTTGTTTTTTGTGAGAGAGATGCATTAAAAGAAAATAAATATTGTTCAAGTTTAATTTAGCTTTCACATTTCTTGTAATAAAAATTTTCAAATTTTTATGATACAAATAAATGTTTTATTGTTTTTGTTTATTCAAACATCAATTTCAATTCCCGAATTTTATAAGCCTTGATAAGCTAAAAACTTTTAAATAAATTATTTTTAGCAAGTAATAATTAAATTTGTTTATTTTATTTTATTTATTTATTGCCAAGTGTATTAATGGAGGGATTTTAGTGTGCAACCCTATAAAATCGTTTGCAGAAAACGAATGAATATTAACTGATCTCTCATGCTGTCAATATCACATTTTTGCAATTTTTATCCATATTTTAAAGAATAAATTGTTTAAAAAATAGTTAAAGTTGATATTTTCACGTGAAATTCAAAGGTTTTCAATATATTTAATCAAAACGCTTGTAAAAAGGCTATATATTTAAAATCCAGAACATTTCATATTAAAAAGCTTTTGCCAATAAGAGGAAGTTGTAGAAAAACATGTCGAACAAATTTTAACTTCTTATACAAAACAGAGCTCAGAAAATTTTCAAGGTTCAAAGAAAAATAAAACTATATTTTTTAATAAAAATGAATACGAACTTGATAATTGAATGAAATTTTAATATATTTACAGCATTTTTAAATGTAATATCTCTAATTAAAATTTGTTTTTAGCTTTTTCTCAGAATGAATTTTTATGCTTTTTGTTTTCATGTGATATATTTATGCTTTTTGTTTTATTCTATTCTTCAAGATTTATGTTTTTTGGTTTCATGTTTTCATATTTCATCATAATACAAGTAATTTTGATCCAACTGCTACAAAACTTGATATAAATGTTTTACATAAATCTTTACAGGGAATAGACCTTGGAAATAATTCTGGATACATAAATAGTTTTTATTTTAATTGTTTAATTTGGAATTATATGCAAATTTTGGAAGAATTTTGTGTCTAAATTATTTAAACTAATACAAAATAATAAATAATAAGGATATAAATTTATCAGAGGTCTGTTCCGTGTAGAATGTTAGAACAAATAAATATAAATTTAAAAAATATTGATTTGATTTTGAATTATCATGTTTTATAACTGTATCCATTTTTGGAAAATTTTTACCCTTATTTTAACCTATAAAAATTAAAAAATAATAATAATGAAATTTTTTTATGTCAAATCATAAGTTTTTAGGTGCATTCAATCCAAAAATGTGTACAAAGATAAAAAATTTCAATAATTTCAAAACAATTCTTTCGAGGGTGTTCATGTACCTTAAAAAATTTGAGAACAATCTATATAAGTATTAATTTAGTGTTTTTTAAACAATAAAAATAGTTACGTGCTTACAGAGAAAACATAATATTATGTTTGTAGTCAAAAATTTAATTTATATTTACATTGCATGAAAGTAAGCTGAAATTGCTTTATTTAATAATTCGATAAATTCCACAAAACAGTCAGCTGAATTTAGTGTTAGAACTAAATACAATTATGTCAAATTTTTATTAGAATTTTTGATAATAAAATGCTTACATAAAATAGTTAATACGATTTTATCTGGCCTAGATATTTTAGTAAACAAGCATTTGTAAGAAAAGCTTTCTTGCTATTATTTTGCTACCATAATAAGTTTTATAAAGTAGAAGTATTTTAATGAATTCTTTCATTTCTTAACAGGGTTACGTGTGAGGCGATTTATTTGCTTCCTATGCTTTCTACTTTCCAAAAAGCTATTATTGCCAGCAATAATATTTGAACTTGGTGCAGTGTAATCAAATTTGTTTTTATTTTACATTTCTTTGTAAGGATAGAGGAAGTTAAGGATCTGCATTTGAGTATGAACTTTATGGTTTATGATTATTTTTAGTTAAAATAAAAAGGGGATAATTTTCTCGAATAAAAGTATAAAATGTGCTTAAGGAGTATTTTAATAACTTGTAAGATCTTTTATTACTTTTTAAGATTTACAACAGAATGCTAATTTAATACGATTATTTTTTTCCAATTCCTACTATTAGTTCACTACTATTAGTTATTATCAAATTTTCAATCGTTAATGAAATACTTTTTATTCATCCACTCAAGTTCAAATACATTTTTTTGAACTTGTAGTGGATGACACTGGATGTTAATACATTTTTTGCAAATATTAATTCATTAATTAAATTTAATTGCTTAATTTTAGTTTTATATGAAAGAAAAAAATTTCTGTAACTAAAATAAAATTTTTTTTTGTTAACCTAAGTAGGAATTAACTTAAGAATTTTTTTTTCATATTACTTGTTTTAAATGCGCTGCGTTTTTCATTCCGTCAAATAGTAATTATTCGGCCAACGGCCGTACCATGCTGAATATACCGGTTCTCGTTAGATCACCGAAGTCAAGCATCATTGGGCGCGGTCAGTACTTGGGTGGGTGACCACCTGGGAACACTGCGTGCCTTTGGCAAATTTGGGACCTGAATGGCCGAGTGTTTAGCGCTCTGGCGCTCGGTGCCACAGGTTTCGGGTTCGTATCCCGGCGGTGCCATGGATGTTTGTAGTGGTTCGGAATCCACTTTAAGCCGTAGGTCCCGGTCTTCTATGACTGTAAGAGCGTCACGGAGCAAAAGTCAGGCTTCTACCTACGGGTGCTCCATCACAACAGAAGCTGCTTCCTTCCCCTTCAATCATGAGTCCATATGGGCTCGTGGGCTTGGCCAGCCAAGTGGGATAAGAAACAACAACAACAGTAATTATTCGTTTATTTATTTTTTTTTATTTTTTATTCCACTTAGTATATAACAACCTCTAGATCAAATCTAAGAATCCGTGTGGTCAAAAAATAAATAAATTTAATTCAAGTTTTAAATTAACTTTCACAATTCTTGTAAAAATAGATGATAAAAATATATGTGTGTGAAATATATGTCAAATATATGTGTTTATGATAAAAATAAATGTTTAATTGCTTTTGTTTATTTAAATTAATTTTATATTCCCAAATATTTATTTTTATTTAATCCTTAGTAAGCTAAACTTATTAAAATAAATTATTTTTAGCACGTAATAATTAAATTTGTTTATTTTATTTATTTTTTTTGGCATATGTATTAATTGAGGAATTTTAATTTGCATCACTATAAATCGTTTCCAGCCTACGAATGAATATAATTGATCTCTCATGTTGCCAATATCCCATTTTTGCAATTTTTATCCATATTTTAAAGAATAAATTGCATAAAAAATTGTTACAATTTTATGTCATATTCAAAAGTTTTGAATATATTTAATCAAAACACTTGTAAAAAGGCTAAATATTTTAACTCCAGGTCATTTCATATTAAAAAGCTTTTGCCAATAAGAGGAAATTGTAGAAAAAAATGTCGAACAAATTTTAACTTCTTTAAAACAGAACTCAGAAAATTTTCAGAGCTTTAAGGAAAATAAAACTATATTTTTTAATAAAACAGTATATGAACTTGATAATTCAATGACATTTTAATATATTTACAGCATTTTTAAAAGTAATATCTCCAATTAAAAGTTGTTTTTAGCTTTTTCTCAGAATGAATTTTTATGCTTTTTGTTTTCACGTGAAGCACCATAACACAAGTAATTTTGATCCAACTGCTACAAAACTTGTAGTAAATGCTTTTCATAAATTTTTACAGGGAATAGACCTTGGAAAGGATTCTAGCTACATATATATTTTTGTTTCAATTGTTAAACTTTGACATATAAGCAAACTTTGGAATAATTTTGTGTCGACATCATTTAAACTAATACAAAATAATAAATAATAAGGATATAAATTTACCAGAAGTCTGTTCCCTGTAAAACGTTAGTACAATAAATACAAATTTAAAAAATATTGATTTTATTTTGAGTTATAATGTTTTGTAACAGCATCAATTTTTGGCCATTTTTACCCTTATTTTAGCCTATAAAAATTAGAAAATAATAATAATGAAATTTTTCTTATATGAAATCATAAGTTTTATATGCATTCAATCCAAAAATGTGTACAAAGATAAAAAGTTTCAATAATTTCATAAAAATTCCTTCCAAGGTGTTGGTGTACCTTAACAAATTTGAGAATAACCTTTACAAGTATTAGTTTAGTGTTTCTTAGCAATAGAAACAATTACATGCTTATAGAGAACAAATAATGTTATGCTTGTCAAAAATTTAATTTATATGTACAGTGTATGAAAGAAAGCTGAAATTTTTTTATTTAACAGCTCGATAAATTCGACAAAACAGTCAGCTGAACTTATTGTTAGAACTTAATACAATTATGTCAAAATTTTATTAGAAGACTTTGATAATAAAATGCGTACATAAAATAGTTAATACAATTTTGCTTGCCCTGAGAGTTTAGCAAACAAGCATTTGTTAGAAAAGCTTTCTTGCGATTATTTTTCAACCATAATAAGTTTCATGAAAAAGAAATACTTTAAAGAATTCTTTCATTTCTTAACGGGGTTACGTGTGAGAACAATTTATTTGCTTCTTATGTTTTTTACTTTCCATAAAAGCTTTTATTGCCAGCAATAATATTTGAACTGGGTGCAGTGTAATCAAATTCGTTTTTATTTTTATATTTTTTCGTAGGAATAGAGAGAAAGTTAAGGATCTACATTTGAGTAGGAACTTTATGGTTTATGATTATTTTTAGTTGAAGATAAAAAGGGAATAATTTTCTCGAATAAAAGTATAAAATGTGCATAAGGAATATTTTAATAACTTGTAAAATCTTTCATTACTTTTTAAGATTTAAAATAGAATGTTAATTTAATACGATTATATTTTTTAAAATCCGCTGGCCTCTTTTTGTTTTGTCAAAGAGTAATTATTCCTTCAGAAATATAGTTAAATTCAAATTAAGTAGATTGCTACGAAATATTTGTTATACTACTGTGCCCAAAAAGTAAGACCAATTATATATTTTTTCAAAAACTCTTTATTTATTCTTCCAAATTTATTTCATCGCCTTCAAAGTAATCCCCTCCGGACACAATGCCAATATGCCAACTTTTTTCCAATCCTCAATGCATGCTAAAAAGTCATCGGCAGGAGTGACCTTCAAAGCGCCGCGATTCACGTTGAATCTCGTCAATCGACTCAAAACGGTGTCCCCGGGGTGGCCTTTTGAGTTTTTTAAAGAAACTAACAATCATCAGTTTTCACTGGTGTTGAATAAATTTGTTTATTATTGGAATATCAAATTCGCAATAACTTTTTATAAAATTTTTTAACATGGTATCCAAATTGCTGAGCATTATTAAAGAAACTAACAATCATCAGTTTTGGCTAGTGTTAAATATTTTTTTTTTAATTATTGAATATCAGATTTGCAATACCTTTTCAGGCAATTTTTTAACATAACATTCAAAATTATTGAGCATTATTAAACAAACTAAATATATTTATCAATTCACGTTCAAATGAGTTTAATGCCAATGCTCTAAAAACGGAATTGGTTTAAAAATTAAATAGGTTTTTTTTCTTGTTAATGCTTATCATATTAAATTAGTATAATTGCATTCAAATTCATGCTAATGATAAATTTCACACTCTACGCAATACAAAACTGACTTAAATCCTCAAACATATTTGTGGGAATGTTTATCTGCACTCTCTCTCCTCTTTATGATAATAGCTCCCATTTAATGTTAATGATCCTTTGAGATTTGCGATAATTGCAGTTTACATATGTGCTAAGTGAGTACAACCAGGGACCCTTAATGAAGCGTGTTATCTAAATGCAGAGGTGTTGCTTTGATGGTGAATTACAAATACAATCTTTTAATCGTCGATCATAATTTTTGCTGTTGAACTCGTTCTTGTTTATGCTTCAAGTGATTTATTAGCTCTTGTGTAATTATATTGATTATATTTATTAATGATGATTTTAAACCAAATACTTTTTATGGATGGTTACGTAAATTCTTCATTACGTGAAATTATTACAAAAGTACATTTTTATTCTACGATTCCATTTGTTTTCTAACCTTTAGTTAGTCCTTTATAAGGTATTTATCAATAAAAGAACTAAATTTGTCGCTGATTTATAATTACGCAGTATATACCTTACAGTATTCATTAGATAGAAATGGAGATTTATATTTTCACACATTTAAATGTTGTAACGAAGAAAACTGTCAATCCCTGCTGTCTGACTGTCGAAATGAATCTTTCTGACAATCCCTATCCGTTCTAATCGTTATTCGAAACGACCTCTTACTCACCACGCTCGATTCTACAATTCTACTTTTAATACAGTAATATTAGCTAGCTAGCTAGCAAAAATTATCACTGGTTTCACATTCTTTAGAACAATCTTTATGATTTAGTTAACCTCATCTTCAAATATTTTCATATGAGATTATGATCAGATACATTGATAAATTAATGAGACATCTAGTTTTAATCTTACTTCTTCTTATTCTTCTTCGTTGGCGCAATAGCTCCATGGTGGAGCAAAGCTGCCTGCCTACTGGCAGATTTCAAGACAGAAAAGAGTTTCCTTTTTACGGAGTAGGGTTTTCAGCCCAATGCTCTACAGTCATATTAGAAAAAGACCTACGTCTTAAAGTGGATTCCAAACCAATTTGAAAATCTATGGCACTGCCGTCACTTCGAACCCGAAACTTGGTCGATCAGGGGCCCAAATTTTACTTTAAGCAGTTTAAATCAGGTTTCTGTGTAAATTTCAGATTAGATACAGATTAATCAATTAAAAAATATAAATTAAAAAATTACTCCACAATGCAAGACACTGACCACCTTTGTTCATTGTATCAAAGCTGTACATGAGAAGTTCTCAGATAATGCCTTTTCTTGCTTATGATTTTCATATCTATGCGTATATTTTTAGAACAAGGATCGCCACCTCGTTTGTAATTACGAACGATTAATTGCGACTATTAATTTTTTTTTTATTTAACAAAAAAAATCAAAGTTGGGATCTGCTAAAAATTCCCTTTAGTATAAATTCAGGACAAAGGTAAAGTAAAGTTTTAGTGCAGTAAGAAATAATGAGATAATGTTTAATACAGGGATCGCTTAACTTCTAGCACGTTTAAATAACAACGGCGTTATAATTATAGCAGGACAAACAGAAAAGGCATATGTGTAAATAGATAATAAAACAAAAATAATACAACTTTTCTTTACTATTAAATTAATCATATATATATATATATATATATACATACATTCTTTCTTCTTACATATAAACTATATTATCTTTCTTGCATATATATTTCTATATTCCTCCAGAACTCTTGAATGTCATTCCTAAGTATATTTCCTCAAAGCTGTAATGACAAAATTTGAATACAAGGCGGTAGACATCCTGAATAACTCTGAATCTGCACTTCTAGAGACGAATGATCTCAATTCAAAGTATTCTACGAGCAATGAAGTACGAACAACAATAATATTATTTTTTTAA